CACTCTAGCCCTGGCAAAAAGAGTGAGACTCTGTCTCAAAAAAAAAAAAAAGAGGCTTAGTAGGTTGCCCAAGGTCATACACTTTGCAAGTGGTGAAGCCAGAATCACAAACCTAGAAGCCTGAATAAAGAGCCTACACCACTGTATTTTGCCTCCCTAATCTAAGACATTTGTTTGCTCAGTTCACTGTCTCTGGTCCCAAATATCCCCAATGTGGATATCTCCCAAAAGCCACATCAGTTCTGAGGCCACCCTAGGGCACAAGTCCCTTTCCTTGGGTCCACTGAGAACTATCTGAAGAACACATCCCACATGCCATGAGAGGGAGATGGGCACGAGTTACAGCCACCCAACTTACCAGTTTCCAAAAAGTACTAAGTGTCTAAATGGGCATGGAAACATATGAGACAAAGATAGCCCCCTACCCTCTAGTAAGCTCAGCATCTCCAACCAGTTCCCAAATGTCTGATTAATAGAGAGAGAAAACAATCACTCCTAATAATCTTACCATTTTTATCCATCGAATGTGGATCAGACTGCTTCTTGCCAGCCTCAGCAAAAGAACGAACAATGGGAATGAGGTTGTTTCTCTTCTTTTCATTCTGATGATGATGCTTTTTGAGAAGGGCTTCTCGTACTTTAACCCTCGTGCTGTCATTCAGGTCACTGAACAGTTCTTGCTGGTCCAGGATCAGGTCTGAAAAGTAGGCACTCAGATGAACACTCAAACTGAGGGTCAGTGAACCCAAGGAGGAAGGCAACACCAGGTGGGGTGGGGTGTAGGACATGCGGTAGGGGGAGGCAGCTCCACTAGGGTCATTGAGGTACAACTTTAGCTTTAGTGTCTGAAAGAGCTATTTGATGATAGTGGCTGTGAAAAGTTATACTTTATTCATGTAACAGATCATTATTATTAGGAATAGAAACTATTGAGCATTTAATATGTGCCAGGAACTATACTGTGAACTTTACATACATTATCTTAACTAATCCTTTTATTAATAAAAACCCTGGGAGTATGTGTTATTATAATAATTTTTACAGATGAGGAAACTGAGATCCAAATGTTACAAAATTGCCCAAGGTCTCACATCTAGTAAGTTACAGAGCTGGGATTCAAATTCAGGACTATCTAACTCAAAAGCCTACATCATTACCCACTTTGTTCTGTCATCTGCCAAATTTCCCCTATATTCCCTTCCTCCAAGACTTTAACATTGCTATGATTGTCAAGAGGAACTATAACTGTTGAACTTCATACTTGCCTATCTAATAGTGAAATCTATAAGAAAAATTATGTTAACTAACCACTCACCCCAGATAATTGTCACCAGCATCACCTTTAAACCTATCAAACCCAAAAGAGTTGAAGGAAAACAAAAAAATCCCAATACTTGGTGAAGAGTGGCAGTCAACACAGCAGTTAATGGTATGGGTTGCGTAGTTAAAGACCCACATTCTAGCCTAGTTCTGCCACTTTCTAGCTGTAAGACCTTGGGCAAGTTACATAATCCATATTACAAAGTTTATGGAAAATTAAATGAGATGATATATACAGAGCGCTGTTTCAGTTGATGCAGTTTATCTAACCTTACCACTAATATTATAAATACACCAGATACCTGATGTGAAGAATCATAGCAGTTTTACTTCAATCCTACATACTTCTACCAAAGCCTTCCTAAAACCTCAACCTATTCTCAATTTCTAACTCCATCCATTCTAACTCCATGACTATCCAAGTGCCAGAAGCAATAAATGAGGAAAATCTATTTCATATTCAAGCTGAAGATCCATATTCTATATCTTTAACCTTTATATTGATTGGTTCTTTCCTCCCATATTATTATATAATCACATTTCAGGATCCTTCATCTTGGAAAAAAAACCATCCATCCCACATCCCCTCTATCTACTGCCTCTTCTCTCTCTCTCTTCTACTATTACTTAAAATTCTCAGAAGAAAAATTCCTCAGCCCCCTGTAATTTAGCTACTCCAATGAAACTGCTTTTCATAAAATCATCAATAACCTTCCAGTGGTTAAATTTAATGGATATTTCTAGTCCTTACTTCACCTGACTTCTCTGCAGCATTTCACACTGATGAATCGAAACTCTCTTCCCTCTTGGCTTCTGTAGCTGGTTGAACAATGACTCCCCACCCCGAACCTGTGAATGTGACCTTATTTGTAAAAAGGGTCTTTGCAGATGTAATTAAGGATCTCAAGACAAGGTCATCCTGGATTATTGGGTAGGGCCCTAAATCCAATGACAAATGTCCTTATAAGAGGCACACAGAAGAGAGACATAGAAGAGAAATCCACATCAAAACAGAAGCAGACTGGAGTTATACAGCCATGAGCCAAGAGACACCTAGAAGCTAGAAGCAAGAGGAAGCAAGCTTCTCCCCTAGAATAATTTTCCCCTAGAGGCTTTGGAGAGGGTATGGAACAGAGAATACTTTGATTTTGGACTTCTGGCCTTCAGAACTGTGAGATAACAAATTTCTGTCGTTTTAAGCCACCAAATTTGTGGAAATTTGGTACAGCAATCCTAAGAAATGAATACCAATTTCATGGCCATTACCTGATTCTCCTCCTACCTCTCTGAGCACTTCTTCTTAGTCTCCTTGACTGACCTCTCTTCCTCTAACCCACCCACAGCCCCTCAACAGCCACCCTTAAATTGGAGTTCCCACCAGGCATGGTGGCTCATGCTTGTAATCCCAGCACTTTGGGAGGCCAAGGTGGGAGGATCACTTGAGCCCAGGATTTCGAGGCTGCAGTGAGCTATAATCATACTACTCCACTCCAACAGCCTGGGCAACAAGTGAGACTTTGTCTCTAAAACAAAACAAAAAAAAAGGAGTTCCCCTGATTTCTGTCTTCAGTCCTCTGATCTTCCCTCCCTTAATAACTTCAACCCCTTCCAAGACTATAAATACAAACTTCCTATGAACTGAGGACCCCCTAAAATTATATCCTAGTTCTTCAGATCTCTCCCCTAAACACCAGATCAAAGTTACAATTACTCGGCCGGGCGCGGTGGCTCACGTCTGTAATCCTAGCTCTCTGGGAGGCCGAGGAGGGTGGATTGTTTGAGCTCAGGAGTTCGAAACCAGCTTGAGCAAGAGCGAGACCCCGTCTCTACTAAAAATAGAAAGAAATTAATCGGACAACTAAAAATATATAGAAAAAATTAGCCGGGCAGGGTGGCACATGCCTGTAGTCCCAGCTACTCGGGAGGCTGAGGCAGGAGGATCGCTTGAGCCCAGGAGTTTGAGGTTGCTGTGAGCTAGGATGATGCCACGGCACTCTAGCCCGGGCAACACAGTGAGACTCTGTCTCAAAAAAAAAAAAAAAAGTTACAATTACTCACTAGATATCTTCATCCACAAACACCTAGAATTCAATAAGTACAAAACCAAACTCATTACTTTTCCCATTAGACCTGCTTATTTTCCAGACACTCAGCGTCCTAAACCAGAATCCTTCACTCTCTTCCCTTCATTCCTCCCAACTAATCTGCCAAACTAGTCTCACCAATTCTACCTCTTGAATCTCACTGGAAACTATCCCCTCTCCTTTCCATCCTCTACTGCCATTGCCCTTAGAGTAGGTGACATCTCATCTGAACTACTGCAACAGCCTAATCCATATCTCCCTTCAACTCACGCTTCATATTGCTGTCATTATTATCTTTCTAACATGCAAAATTTGATTGGTTACTACCCTGCCCAAAGCTCTCCAATGGCTCCCTGTTTACAGAGCTATAATCAGCTTCAGTAGCTCCCAGGGATTCTTCTACCTTACACAAGGGGGACTCACTTACACAATGGGACTCTCATGGGATTTCAGACACAGCCAAAAGCTAGCAAAGTATAGATGCAACCCAGTGGTGAACACCAGAACTCCATTTTTCCCAGGCAGTGTAAGTGGCACATCTGGGGCACCTCCTAAAAAAGGAGAGGGTCACAGGATCCCATCAGTGCTTACCCCTTCCCTGGGTCCTCATGTGACCCCAGAGAGGCAGAATTACTTGGATACTTGAAATGGAGAAAGGTTTGGAGAAATTTTTATTTAACCTACCTGGCCAAACAAAGCCAATCCAAGGGAAAAGTCCCCACACGCCCCCAGGTGTTTCTCCAACCCCATTTCCAAAACATAGTAACCTAACAATCACTCAATCAGAGGAAACTCCATCAGACATCCGCCCTTCACATACTTTGGCTCAATTTCCTGCATGTCTGCCCTAGATGCCATATTGAAATTTTTTTAATTCTCTTTAACTCCTTTTTCTCTGCACAACTCCCAAGTTGCCCCCTTCTCTAATTATTACCAAGCATAGCTGTGTCATTGCACTTATTTTAATTGCTATTTCCATGGCTATTTCCTCCACTAGAAGGTAAGTTCCTTGAAGGTAGGAACTTTATCTTTATTCCCCTGTGCCTAGCACATTATCAAGCATATAGTAGATACAAAATAAACGTTGCTGAATGAACAGGCAAATGGAAGATTAAACACCATGGCATTTGAATCCCATAATAAGCCTATGAAAAGGATAGAGTAGTTTATTAGTTTGAAACCCATCCCACAGCTGAGGACATTGAGGTCAGGAAGGTCATGACTTGCCCAAGGACATACAGCCACTTTATTCTTTCTGCTATACCACACTTCTTTTTTTTCCCACACTTCTAAAATTTACACAGAAGTTCCCCTGTTTTCCCTCATCTACTCTTACCTGAAATTTCTTCTATGCTATTTGCACGCATATCCAGAAGGACTGTTCCATTGATAAGGCAGCTCCTCAGCTCAAAGAGACTGTGCAAGGAAAGGGTTGCCACGTAAGGCTTGCTCCAGCGTTCTCCCCCGTCTTCAACATCTTCCTCAAACTTCAGCCACCTGAAAGCATTACAAATAACTGGATGCCAAAGATAGAAGATGAGGAATTTTCTTTTTCTTGTTAAGAACAACAGACGCTGGCAAGAAAATGAGGAATTTTCAAGAGAGAATCTATAAACCATAAAGATATCTGAATAGTCATATTGAGCATTATAAAATCCAATCTACATGTTTAGGGTATATTGGTAAGTGAAAAAAGCAGGTTATAGAACAGTGCAAGTTTAAGTATAGTTTAATTCCATTTTTATTTAAAGAAAATTTTAAAAATACAAACACACACACATGTGAATAAGATACCAAATATTATATTCCTCATTATCCCTGAGGCAGTAGGATTACAGATAATTTTCACTTTCTTCTTTTTGCTTATCATTATTTTCTAGCTTTCTATAATGAGCATGCATCACCTGCACAATTAAAAATTAGATCTAATCTATATCGCTTGGACACATTCACATTAATAAATCACATTAATAAAATGGTAGCATTTTTCTTTTTATCAGTGTCCTGTGTGACCTTTAGAAATTTGCAAAGACAGAATGACAAAAGACTAATTGCCTTTTCACTTGTTATCAGGTTGATTGGCCTGTTTAAATCTTTCTACTTGTAGAAAATGTTGACAATATAGCAAGCATCCAGGAAGAGCTGTTTCAATGAGAGCTGGAGCCATGCTTTTCTAGTTATCCACTTCACCTCCCGAGGCTCAGTTATGCTATCTTTGCATCATCTGTAAGGCTAAAGGAACCTAGACATGGCCCTGGTTATCCTGGGGGCTCTCCTGGGATTTGAGTCTCACACAAGCATCATCACTCTACAGCTATCCCAGGAAGCCTCGTGTGGGCTGGTTATAATCCCAAGGGTCTCTGTGAGGTTGAATTGTGCCAGAGGAAGTTAAAATCTCAAAAATTCTGGGACCGCCAGTGAGTTAAAACACAAATAACCCTATGATTCATCTGCAGAAAAAGTCTGGACCCATGCTACGTCTGTTGGACAAGATCCCAACCAAGGTGGCACTGTCCACATCTTCTACACCAGACCTATAATATCAAGATAGCCCATAAACTTACTCTGAGCCCCAGGCCTATGAGAGAGGACCCCCAGAACATCCTATGTTTCTGTCTTCAATCTCACGCTCCAGGTTACCTGGCATAGGTATGACCAGAGGCATTATAAAGAGGCCAACACCAAGACTCCTACAGGAGACTCTGGAACATCAGTCATCACTTCTCCCAAGAAGAAATAAAAGGCAGGCAGGCCTGTCACTTGCTGAAAGGTACACATTTGCCTACCCAAGCAGATCTTGATGCAGGTTATTTTAGGGCCTCACCTAGCTGTCTCCTTCCACTCAGCATCTTCTCCCTCTTTCACACAGATCTCATCCAGCTCTGTGAACAGCTCATGAGGCACATGCTCTTCATCTTCCTCGGTGCCAAGAATGAACTGAACACGCTGAGATGGTGTGTCTAGGAAATCAACCAAAAAGAAAGGTCTGCTCCTAGCCTCCAACTCAGAATAAAAATAGCATTCTGCCTTACCTAACAACTTGAGGAATATATAGAAGGCAATCCTGAATGCAGATCAAAAGGATTTCTTTATTCTCAGAGAAAAAGTTATTCTGTGGAAGTAGTTTCATAGGAGGAAAAATTTATGAACTAAGCCACTTGTGGAAAACCCATGAGAAACTGGAAATCTGACAAATTTGATCAAAAGGAATGGCTAATTCTCTAGCAAAGGATTTTACCTATGATGGTACTGATTTTGGAGGGCCTGAACTGTGAAGTTTTCATGAAGATAATTTTGATGCTTAGACACATTTCTTCTTCTTGAAAGTAAGCTCTGAAAACCCTATAATAGGGCTAGAGAATCAAGACCACCTGCTTATGTCCCTCAAATGTCCCCTCAGCCTCACCACACCTCAGGCCATGGACACTCGCCCTCTCTCTCTCAAAGCTGTTACCGTGGGCCAGGGGTTCCAGGCCTTCCTCCCCCTGGCTGGCTCCTTTGCCCCGCCCTCGTCTCCGGTGCTTCTGGCCATGGGTGCGATGGTGTCGATGGCTCTGCCGGCCCAGTGGCATCCGAACTCCCACATATAGAGTTCTGTGACCTGGAAAGAAGCAGAAGGTCTATGGAGAGAACTTCTTTAGTAAAAGAAGCCTGGCATACTTAAGAAAAAAGATCGCAGTTATTTGGCCTGGTCACAACTTTGGAATGACAAAACTTCAAAGACTTCCAAGATTAAAGATACAGAGACCTAGGAGTTGAAGGTCTCTTCCTTTGTCCTGCACGTAGCTGCAAACCTCACAGGGTGTCATGAAGATCAAAAGAAATAATGTGTGTGGATGTGATTTGCAAACTGTAAAGGCTAATATCGATGTTAGTATTATTACAACAGTATGACTGAGTAACTTTAAAAAAAGACAATACAGTCGCTCTATGACAATTGTGGCAAGTCTTGGCAGGCAGGCAGTTTAGAAGTCAGCCTGCCTGGGTCCAAAATTTAATTCCATCAGCCACTAGCCATGTGACCTTGAATAATTTATCTAATCTTTCTATGACTCATCTTTAAAAAGATACTACAAGTTTTTTTTAAACTCATAGAGTTTTCATAAGCAGTAAATAAGATAATATATATAAAATTCTTAACACAATGCCTGGAATAAATTTTAGCAGCCAATACATTCTAGGATCAGCTTCCATTATTTTTTTCTGCATTGCAGAATATACAATCTAGAATAGTGGTGAAAGACTAGTTATAAATTACAAGAGCATGAGGCTGGGGTTAAAGAGAGATGTTAAATACTGTACAAAGAGAAAGGAACATGAAAAAATAAGAGATCCTCTCCTGTTCCCTCTTGCCTTCTACAAACCTTTTTGTTTTGATCCTGACTTCCAGACCTCTGTCACCTCCACCTTGATTCCTCTGCCTTCCTTCCAAGCTTAGAGCCAGAATCAGTAGCTTGAGGGCCGCTCCCACACCCAACACACAGTGCCTGGGTCTTCCTCCATTTCTGCAGGGTCACTGCTGCTCAGCACTCTAGATCTCAGGCCCATTCCCCACATCTTCTGCTTCAGAAGCTGTTCCAATCTTTAGCCACTGTCTTCAAATCCACAACCTTATCCACATTCCCTCCCTCTGAGCAGGTGACCTTACTTCAGATTTTTACCAAGAAGACTTCAGCCCTTCATGTTCCCATCTCAAGCTGGCTCGCTCTGCCCCAGCTTCTCCTCTGACAAGCTAATGGGCGTGGCTCTTGACCTCATCACCTCCTACTCTGGAGTCCTACTGCTTCAGTTATCTTCAGTCTCTTCTTTCCAAACATCCCTTCCAGAGGTTTCTCCTGATGTATCTTAAAAAGAAACCTTCCCTCCACAGTGCTGTTCTCCCAAGGTCCTGCCCTGTCCTCTTTCCTTCTCCGTCGAACCACTTTCAAGAACAGTAACCAACCTAACTCCCTTTCCTCACCATTCCTCATTCCATGTGGCTTCTGACTCCACTCTCGACTGAAGCTGCCTTCATCAGGGACACCAGACACCACTTAATCACCAAATCTCTATCATCTTACATCTTTCTCCATTCTATTCAAAAGACTTTCTTTTTTTTTTTTTTTTGAAACAGAGTCTCGCTTT